TGTAGTGACAGCGGAGGAGACCATGAAACACTTTTCAAATTTGATTTCTTCTCTGCAATAATCTCCTTTCGTTTATTTTCCTATAGAAATGGTTTTATTTACTTTGCAATGAAAAGTTTGTATATATATAAGTATACATTTTTTTATGCTTCCATTGTTCATCCGTTTCATTTATTCTTCTTGCACTTTTGGTGGTTCTGCTTTATTCCTTTAATATGTTTTGATTGTAATTAGTTCATCTCCAGTAATTCCATTGTTTTTCAGCATTAATTAATTTTGCTGATTCATACTCGCAATTATTTCTGATGAGTGCGATTTCTTGAGTAGCAGCAAAATAAGCATATTACTTGTAAATAAAATTTTTCTACTTTGTTGAAGAGGAAAAAGAAATATATTTTTTTATTAGGTCAGAATCTGGCTGTTTAATTTCTTAGTACGCCTGCATTTTTCAACCAACAAAATTGTCATTGGTAATCATTACAATTATTATGCATGTTCAGTTTATTTTGTTTTTGATTTGGTTATCATGGCTAGGTAAATTCTTTTACATCTAGGATTATAAAACTAGCTCCATTAGCACATCTAGAAGCAATTAATCTCTGCTGTTTTAATTTGGTCATGCTTATGTAGGGTATTTTTTTATGTCTTGTGGTGATTCATTTTAATATATTATAGTTGATTTGAATATATTCATAATTTATTTTTGATGAACAATAAAGAAATATCATACTACTACTTAAGATTGTCTTTAGGCTTTTTATATCACTACCTGATAGATTAATTTATTAGGGATTACCCTTTTATAATTATGCTTGCAAAATGAATGACTAATTGTATAATCTGAGACTAAAATAAGTTAATGACAATTGCAACTAGATGTGTTTATGTGACCTAGTGGATTAATCTTGAATGTTCATTAATATTTTGTCATCATCTATTTTTACTATTTATAATTTTGCCTTCTCAATTATTATTATTATTTTTTATTTCTCTTAGTTTGCCTGAGTCATTTCTTTGATTTTCTTACAGAACTCCCTGTGCGATCAACTTGTACACGCTGGAGTGGAGTTCTATAATAACGTCCTGCACTTGTGGTTCATAACTTAAAATATCACAACAAAAATGGTATTTAGCACTTAGTTGGAGCCAAATTTGGTGGTGAGACCCTTCGTTTTGCTCCACTTCTCATAATTGTCTAATAGTGGGTTGTCTAGATCCATGTCTAGGCTGCAAAACTTTCTGACTACTCTCCATGTCTGACAGCTATAACTTATTTCCTAAAACATTTCCAAATGTTAAACCACTAAGTTTAACCATACCCACGCCCACTAACTTTACGTTTAATTCCTCTTATGATAGACTCTTCTCCTCTTTCTCAGTTTTACCACAACACAAACACTTTATATATGCGCTAGTTATCTTTGAGTGGAGCCTATTCTTGGCTTTGGGCCTTTAACAATCAAATCGAAATCCCTTGATTCACTGCCCTTGACTAGAGCCCATTCTCAGCTTGGTGGAGATGTGGAATCCTCTTCTTCTGACAAAGAGAGGTGGGAGTTGGAAAGGAATTATTCTTTTCGGGAATATGTATAAATAAATATTTTAATTTTTTATTTTTTATTTAAAAATATTAATTTTATCAAAT